ATAGAAGGTTTTTTGCTTGATGGTTCTGGAGGCTTCGGCGCTGGCAAGGGGCACGCAGCGATCACCAGAATTCCGAAGGCTCCGATATAGACTCAGCATATCCAGGAAACGACCAGAAACCCACTACCACCGAGACACAACTGCCAAGGACTCCCGAAGCCCGAAACCTTAAAACAAGAAAAAGGCAATTCGCCCAAAAGGCCAGACTAGTCCCTGACCCCTGAAAGCCAACCGTATGCCCGAAAGCCCGAGAGGCCCAAAGCCCCGAACGACACGAAGCTTAGAGCATCAAGATCCGCCTTCAAGCGGCCGTCTGCTTCCATACATTCCCTGCGCCTGAAAAGCTACCTGAATGCAGCCTCAATGGCTGCGTTCCAGCGTCTATTGTGGAGTTGAATGGTTTTCGACTGCAGTCTCAGGGACTTTTATCTCCCGCTACACTTGGATTAAGGCAACCCATCTGTGCAACACGGCCCAGCTGCCATCGAGGAACTGTCGTGACCTTCGGCCAATGACCCCAATTCCCGAAAGCCCTAAACTAAAACTCGCGAACTGAGGGGCCCCACCACCCCAAACCCTAATCTTGAACCCTGCGCTCTAGTCTGGAACCTTTGCAACCCCAAAATCGCCCACAAGCACGGGTCCCCAAAGCTCCAACGCCCAAACAAATATCCCTTCACACCACCACGAAACAAACACAAAGGAACACGAGCCACAACACAAACATATACTTAAGACTACCAGGACGGCAACGACAATGAACACAACGATAACAACACCAAGGACACGCGCCGACACACGGCATCTGTGTATCTGTATGTACGTATGCATGTATGTATCCGTGTATCTGTGTGTGTGTATGTATGTGTGTGTATGGCCGTATTTAGGTACGTATGTGCGTAGGTGCGCAGGTCAACAGGTAGGCAGGTATGTAGGTATGTAGGTATGTAGGCAGGCAGGGGTATAATGGCGGCCATAGCTAACTTAAGGAGAGTGGCAATAAGATCAGGACTTTCAGTGATGATGTTGATATGGCAGTGATGATTGCGGTTAAACTCTGTCACGAAAGTGTGGTGGTGACAGTGGCCAGTAGAATCGGAATAATGCCAACGCCTTCTCTTGGCTTAACTTGCCGAGTTGCTCAGCTAGGACCATCGCAGAGGTTCTGTTATGCTAGTCCAAGGACTGAAGTCTTAACCTTTTGAAGCCGAGAACTTACTCAGAAGGTGCAAGCTTCGAACGACCCAGCAGCACTTTTTCACGAAGACGAATGAGGGTTCTTCTGAATTAGGGTCCCTGTTGCGGTCTTTGTATGTAAGACTAGCTGCTGAATGTAGCAGCCAGTTTTGTTTGTATGTTCGAAAACGACTGAAAAGGGTATGTTTGTATATATGTATATATATATATATATGTATATGTATGTATATGTATGAGATACTTACGATTGAACCCTAAAAAAGATATCACTTTGTTTCATGTGAAGCCGCTCTATTGGGGTTCGCGTTCTGCGCAAACAGGACCCTAATTCAGAACAATCCCCAGGTCCGGAAACCGATCTTTGGGTACGTTTTCGGTGCTTTGGCGACGCTTAGAAACACGGGGCAACTCAGAAGTCAGCGACATTCCAGGCTGATTCCAAGCAGGACGGACGCCTCAGTACATCTGCGACTTCTACAAACTTGCAGTCTGAAGCGTTCCCTGTAACCTTGTTGTAGACCCTGTTGTGCAAGGCTCCGAGACGAGTAGCAAAATCTTCGACCTCACCCCGTTCCCACGCACCAAAGCCTGCAGCCTTTGCATCCTGCGCCGCCGATGGCATACTGGCCCGTTTTAGTTTGGGCAGTGGCGGATGTCTTTGCCCGAGTACGCAAAAACATGCAAAACAACGGCGAGTTCATATACAAGACGGGATAATTGCGGCAGGCTATAGGGAACAGATCTGTCTATCTGTGTACCTGTCTATCGGGCAGTCTACCTACATATCTACCTCTCTTATCCATCTCCTTTTCTTTCTGTGTATGTCTGTGTCTGTCCCTGTCTCGGTCTCGGTCTCGACGCTAGCGCTTGCGCTTGTGATGTCTCTGGCTCCAGCTCTAGCTCTAGCTCCATCTCTAGCTTTATAGCTCTAGCTGGAGCATGCTCTAGCTCTAGCTGTACGTTTAGCGCCAGCTTCTGTCTCAGTCTCTATCTTAATAATCCCTATCTCTACTGCTATGCCTATCGCTATAACCATCGCCTCTCGCCATAGCCATAGATACCGCTACCGCTACAGTACCGCTACGGCTACCTCTACCTCTACCTCTACCTC